AGGATGTAACAAAATCTGGGTCATAAGAAACAGTCATAATAAAGGTCTACTGACTATTCTCTGATTTTGAAGCAATGTCTTCCAGTATTTTTAACCTTCAGGCATATATAGAAAATACTATCATTGTCCAGGCGTTCTGAGTTAAAAGAAATTGGCCCAAGGCTTGGCTGACCCAGGCCTCAGCTGACTGCTAAAAAACTGAGTGTCATGCTCTTGTTAACTACATGATCATCCCCTGACTCATCATTAAAAAAGTACCTGAATTTTGGAACCAGTTTCTTTCCAAAGTAGATAATGCTGACCTTGACATTTGTGAGAGAAATTGATGTGGACAATTGCCAGTACCTAATTACTAGTAGTGTATAAAACTGCCCACACAAAATGCAAATTTTGTGTAGGCAGGATTACTCCATGAAACAGTTCTACAAGTCATGGGAGTTTTGTTTCCATAATTATGGTGTGAATGGTAGCTTTGCTCAGTCATGTACTCTCGCTAACCTAGAATGTGAAGTTCTGTTCTATTAATTTATATTCATTTTCACTGGGCAGTGGTGGCACATGCCTTTAATCCAACATGGGAGGCAGAGGCAGGTGAGTCTCTGTGAGTTTGAGGCCAGCCTGCTCTACAAAAGCTAGTTCCAGGATAGGCTCCAAAGCTACAGAGAAACCCTGTCTTCAAAAACTAAAAAAAAAAAAAAAATCATTTTCTACATAATAAGCATTACTTTTTTCTCCACTTTTTGGAACTTACATAGTGGGCTCTACATATGTAGATGGAAGTTACTGTCCCATCTGGTCCCATAGTTGTTCAGTCCCAAAGAAACACACAGAGGCTTATATTAATTATAAACTGTTTGGCCTATTGCTTAGGCTTATTACTAACTAGCTCTTACAACTTAAATTAACCCATAATTCTTTTCTGTGCTTAACCACATGGTTTGGTACCTTTTCTCAGTAAGGCATTCTCATCTTGCTTCCTCTGCATCTGGATTGTGACTGTGTCTCTGCCTTTCCTCTTCCCAGAATTCTACTGGCCAGTCAACATTTTATTAAACCAATATGAATGACAAATCATTACAATGGACAAGAACATTACCACACAGGACACAGGTTCCTCTTATGATTTTTTTCCACATATAAAAAGCAAGCTATAGCTTCAAAATAAAAGTCTGTGTCTTTCAAATAAAAAGCAAAGTAGCACTAAGAAAATAGTTAGCTAGCCTTACTCACTAGCTAGGCTCCTAAATCAATAGGTCAGCTCTGCTGCCTAGAAGGCTCAAAATGCCTTGGCAAAATTCCAAAGAGTCTATGTGCTCAAAATTTTGAAAAGGAAAACACAGTGACTCTGAAAGCTTCACTACATCTTCTCATCAGCTTCTGTTAAAAGAAACTTTGTGTGTGTGTGTGTGTGTGTGTGTGTGTGTGTGTACGTGTACAGCTATGCCTCACTCAACTGTAGAAATCAGTTCTTTGAAATGCATGTTAGGTTATTTTGCTTACCATGCAAACACCATAAATTGTGTTTACACAAACCTAGACAGCACAGTACAGTCACTCAGTATGGTCTCTTGACACAATCGGGAAATGCGGTGAGTGAGCATAGCATGGTGCTGCTTCACAATGAGCTACTTTACTTAAGTAGAAACAGTGCATTCAAAAATAATGATTTGAAAGTAAAATAAATACACAAAGCCGTTACATTGTAGTCTACTATGGAATATTATGAATTCTACATGATTCTATGCACCTAGGTAGATTTATATGGGCACCATCACACACACAGAGGTCACACGTTACTATGACAGCCAGGATGTTACAAGGCACCAGCTTCACAGTCTAATGGGACCATTATTATTTGTGTGGTCTGCTATTAACTGAAATGTCATTATTATGGGACACATAACCCTTTCAGAACTACCATTTACCTCAAAGACGGACAACTTCATGTCTGTCAGAAGAAGGGAGTACCCATACTTAGGATATAGTGTTTGATGATAACTAGCATTAAATTCAGTTTCCTGTTCTTTTGACTGTCTTGTGTTGGGCAAGCTGCTATGTCTTGCTGTCCTCTATACTCTTCTGTCAAATGGGTGTGAGTATGAGCGTTGAATAGTATATTTATAGTGGTACTTGCACTGGAATTGAACAATTGCTCTTTGTTTTGATTGTTTTGCTGTGTCCCTGGGAGTGGTGTTTCTTGCCTCCTCTGTTGCAAATGCAATGCAGGGACTCTTAATGCTGTGGAATTAATCACATTACTTTCCACTTGGCAGGATGTTCCACACCACTGGGCCTGGAAGATGGAAGGATAGAAAACAAGCAAATCACTGCATCCTCATTTAAGAAGTCCTGGTGGGGAGACTACTGGGAGCCCTCCCGAGCCCGCCTGAATGCCCAGGGCCGTGTGAATGCCTGGCAAGCCAAGGTGACAACAATCATATAAATGGTGTTCTCTTGCCTTCCAGAAACAAACAAAGGCCCCTACCACAGGGGACATATTGGGGTGGGGGTGCGTGACTGGGGAGCAGGAGTGTTAGATTCGGAAGTGCCAGATCTGAGAGGCTAGGATGACTTGCAAAATCCACAGTCGCAGCTCTAACCATGGCTCAGAGGAAGTCACACATCTTCACTGTAGTTCTGGTAAATCACTGTCGAGCTGTGATTTAAAACAGGAAGGAACAGCAAGGAACAGCAGTGTGCAGAGAGATAGATAGTAAATAATTTAAGTTTGCAGATAATTTGGGAATTTACTCTTCTCATTTCAAGTAAAATTTGTGTATGTATTTATCCAGCAGCTACTTGTCAAACACTGTGTACCTTGTCTTGTTATAAACACCAGAGGGGAAAAGACTAAATAAGCTCTCACACTAGAACAGCAAGGGACATTAAAAAGAAAAAGCAATGATTATTGTAAACGATGTGCAATACATCAGTAGAAATTAAATTTTTTAGATTGGTGTACAAAGTAATAGGTTTTATTGTGACAATGTCATACATATGTGTCATTATACTTTGTTCTTAATCAGGTCCCTTTCATATTGCCATCCTTTTATGTATAGTCTATTCCTCTCAATTTAGTCCCTGTCCCCCATCATGATCCACAACAATAAACAAGAAATCACAGCGAAGTTCTCCCAAAGGCAGTGGCTCCTAAGGGAGCAAATGGGAAAGCCCTGTGTGTCTCTAAACATCCTGATGGTAACAAGCAGACAGGCTTAAACATCATACTCATTCCAGGGTTTTGTTTTTATTTCTTTAAATCATTTTCATAGGCAAATAACAACAAGCAGTGGTTGCAGATCGATCTGCTCAAGATCAAGAAGATAACCGCCATTGTAACGCAGGGCTGTAAGTCACTGTCCTCTGAAATGTACGTGAAGAGCTACAGCATCCAGTACAGTGACCAGGGCATGGAATGGAAGCCTTACAGGCAGAAATCCTCCATGGTGGACAAGGTACGGGTGCCATGCTGGCAAAGCAAAAGCTGCTGGAGAACCGTCTCCCGATGAGACAAACAAGGGCTTCTTGATTTGACAATGATGATTATGTACCGCTCCCCCAGTCTTCTCAACCCCCATCCTCCAGGTGGCTGGTCTTAGCAGAGGGACCATTTCCATCACTTTTCTGACTTGGCCACCTGTGAAATAAAATGGGGAGTACAAAATGCTAGGGGGTGCAGTGTGGCTTTTGTTCTGACTGAGAAAGACAGTGAGCCTATCCAGAAAACCTTCTGCGATAATAATAATAATAATAATAATAATAATAATAATAATAATCACAGTTGCTGTAGTTAGAGTTGCTGCTTGTAGCGAATCAAATGCCCAAGACTGCAAGCCTCTGTATGTCATGTTGCTATTGGACAGAAAACATTTGGGAAAACCACTCTTCTGGTGAAGCTAACTGCTCTATTACATTCCTAAGTCCCTCTACCCTCTACCAGGTGGTTTAATGATGCTGTCAGAAGTAAAGCCAAGGAGGTCTGACTAGTGATCCAGGAATGGGAACTGGGCTAAAACTAATAGGAAGGTTTAATTTAATTTAATTCTAATTAAATGCTTAGCACTGAATAAATTGCTGCCCCTTTCTTATTTTTAGACCCCCGGCAGTGTGTGCTATCTTGTTACAGCAGGCTGCCCTCACATCAGGGTAAACCCCGCTACCTTAAAGAAATGATGACTTCTCGCTGCTGTGTGTGTAAATCTCAGGGAACTTCCTGAGGGGGAGAACAGAAATAAACATGAACACTCGAGGAGGAGGAGGAGGAGGAGGAGGAGGAGGAGGAGGAGGAGGAGGAAGAGCACACATCAAAAAGAGAAATGAAAATAAAAACCTCAGGGTCACATTTATTTTAAATGTCAATGACAGTAAGTTATTTATTGGCATCCACTACACAACCCTGATGAGGCACTTGCCGTGTGCTTACACACATTTTCATATGTGTGCAACTTGTATGATGCAAAGCTTTGATTGTTCTCGCCCTGATGATGAGACAGTGAGTGCAGAGGAATGTAATGATGTCTTCAAACTCACATGGCAGCAAAGAAGCTAAAGAAGAAGTTTGCAAACACTCATGTCAGGTTTATTTATTTTTTCCTAGTCTGACACATCATTAAGAAATGATTCCAGCACTTGAGAGGCAGTGGCAGGCGGATCTCTGTGAGTTCAAGGCCAGCCTGGTCTATAGAGCTTGTTCCAGGACAGCCAGGACTAGACAGAGAAACCCTGTCTCGAAAAAAAACAAACAAAAAAAGAACATCTTTAAGGGGACATCTATCTGTCTTCTGATTTAGTAACTTACTGATAATAGTAAAAAAATAAATAATAATAAACTTCGGTAATAATTGACTTTGGTATAAAAGGATTTTAAAAAATGAGAATGAAACATTAATGCCCATGATGTAAATGTTGACAATTTTTATCATGTTTTTCTTTCAGATTTTCGAAGGAAATAGTAATACCAAAGGACAAATGAAGAACTTCTTTAACCCACCCATCATTTCCAGATTTATCCGCATCATTCCTAAATCTTGGAACCAAAGTATTGCACTTCGCCTGGAACTCTTTGGCTGTGACGTTTACTAGAATTGAAAACCAAGAAAGAAAAGGAAAGGATAAAAACTGAAGAAACTTCTTAAGGCATCAACCATTTAGAGCAAATATAAAATATCCAATATATCATGATTATTTTGAATGTTAAGAGATTTTCTGCTATTTTTTATAATAGAGAATAAAGTTTATATAAGACGCTTTTACAATGTTAATTCATCGCTGCCATTAAGCGAGGTGGCGGCTATTATTTTCTTCACTAATTTTAATATAGATGGGAAAATATTAAGTTCCAGCAAGAAAATGACTGCCTTTTACTCTGATTAAAGATGTTATGTAATGTTATATAGTGGAACGATATGTTCCACTCTAGCTCTTTCCAATCCTGTAGACATTAATAAAAGAGATATTACTTTCAGAAACTGTTCATAGACCTAGAAAACTTGCCTTCCTATACTTCCCCTTTAAAAACAAACTATAATTTGTAAAGAAGAGAGACTAAAACAGCTTAATTTTTTGATAATAGAGAAAAGAATCTTGCGGTAAGGAAGGGAGAACTTAAAATGCCCTGCGTTGAGATGGCCTAGTGGGCCAACAGAGGTGCTTGCTGCCAAAACCTGATGACCTGAGTTCAAGTCCAAAAACCCACAGGGAAAGAAGCACCAGATTCTGAAAAGCTGTCCTTGATTTCACCATGCAGCTGTGGCACATGTGTGTGCCCATGCCCACATTCAAGCTCTAACAGTAAATAAAAGATTTTACAAGTCCATCTTTCGATGTCACCGTGAGTTTTCTGATTCCTCATGAGCAAAGAAGCAATTGAGCATGTTTTTCACACTCCAGTTGGACTTGCAAATCTGTCTTGGCCTTGTTTGGGGGAGGCTGCACCTCTTGATGTCCAAGGATACCAGTCATCAGACGTTAAATACAACTCAAATATCCTTGGGAGAGCTGGTCATATGCCTTGGCTTGATCGAAAATCTGGCACCGTGAAACATACTGTTTCAAAACTTGGGTTCACCTAAGGGAAAGAAAGCGCTTACCTGTAAAGAGGAACATGGGGACAGTTGGCACACGCTTAGCAGTTCCTGTTAGAGCTGCTCCGGGCCAAACTGGCAAGTGGGTTTGGGGTTCTGTCTGTGCCTTCTTTCTCGCCTCCCTGCGCTCGGCAGCTCCTGTTAGCATGCTTTTCTCTGAAACGTGAAATCTGACGGTGCTGTTCTGGTTGCCCGTCTGTAGAGCGTCTCAACATCTGTAAAGTCACAAGGGATGGATATTCCATACAGTCAGGATAGTCATTCAGACAGTCAAAACTCTCTGGTTTTGTGAAATAAACTACCCCAAAGCTTAAGCAAGGATTGCACAAAATATACATGTGGTAGAGGTAAAATAGATGGCTAATCTTATGGTGTGTACATATAGTCAAGACATCATTATATACCACAAATACAATTTTTCTAGATTAAAAAATGAAAGACATAAACAACACCAAATGTCTTTCCTTTGAGGGTGCTGTGGGTTCCCTGGGCTCAGTTGGACAGTTTCATTGCTGGCTTCCTTAGGTGTCCCTCTGTCGTTAGAGTAAAACCATGGCCTCAACTGGGTTTCTAAGGGGATTTACATCCCCTTAGATGCAGGGGGAGAGTGGGGGCGGGGGAGTGTCCTTTCTCTCTTTTGTCATGTCTCAGCTCCAATCCCCCTACTTGGCTTCTGTGTGTGGTCTTCCACTCAGTGTCCCCAGTGAGCAGCTGATTTTTTTATGTGATGGTTCAGGCATCTCTCAAATGCTAGGAAGACGAGATCCTCATTCTTTTTAAACTCCAGGCTCAGAGCAGAGGCATAGCCTCACTTCTGCCACATTCCATCCGGTGAAGCAAGTTAGCCCAGTATCAGAGTAGGAGGAACTCTACGGGGTGTGCATACCAGAGGACACTGCTCACTGAGGGTTCCTTTAGAAACCACCAGTTACCTATTTCTTCTTCTGGAGAGCCTTGCAGTTATGGGTGAGAGCTTCCAACGTCCATAGAAGTATTTATATTTCTGTTGTCACTTTCCTTTCGTGATTCCTGATGCCTGTCACTATCCTACCAAAATTTCTCCAAGATTTTCATTTTGTTAACAACAGCTGAGAATCTAAAGTTTAAAAAAAAAATCTTTTTTACAAGTCTGGCCTTGTGAATATGCTACTGATCTATCAGCAAAAAGGCCCTGTGTTCAGGGATCTTGACTGAGGTTTCTGCTCAGCTGTCATCCTCCTGGCACATTTAATTTTAAGATAAAAAAACCCTAACATTTTCATTTTTTAAGAAGCCCCCATAAATTATAAAGCTAGTCCTAGGTATCTCTACTAAGAATTAGATGGTCTCAGCTCTGTGTCTCTCTGTCTGTCTCTCTCTCTCTCCAGGGTTTCACAATATAGTCCTGGTTAAGCTTGGCACTCTCTAGACCAGGGCTGACCGTGAACTCACAGAGATCCACCTGCACCTGCTGGGGTTAAAGGCTTGTGCCCCCACACCAGGCTAGAATTTCTCTTGATCTGAAATGTGATTGGGGCAATGAATATTATGCAGTACCATAAGTAGGGGACTAAAAGACAATGTAGTGAAACAGGTAGCCTGGTTATCTTGTCGATGAGATAAATAAGACCCCAAAGGAAAAATAATTGCTCAAAACTCTTACTTGTTAGTGTTAGAGCTAAACTCAGACAATCACAATGTAAAATGGAAGCTATAGCGTGTATAAACCGCACCCTTAGACAGGAAGATATGAGTGTTAATTAATGACACATAATTGATCTGAAAAAAAAATGTTTCAGTACCAATAAAATGTTAGGGCTATAAGTGACTTTGAAGTAAAATACAGTTCCACTTTTTGTCCCTCCCTTTGAAGTGCTTTAGCTGAAATTACAGCCTCGGTACCTGGTCTGTCCTCCTCTGACACAGCACACGCACTGTTTGTTATCTCATACCTGGTCGCTATGGAAAGAAGTGACTCACGGAGGAATTATGATTTGCAAAGAGAAACCAACAATTAAAATCCCAGGTGTTATTAGTCACTCAAATTGAAAGTTGGAGAAGAATGGTTGAGTTCCTCACAAATATGAGACGTCCTCAGTAAACGTAGGATCACTTCTTCAGAGGGATTTCAAGTACCAAAAAACATCATGCAACTTTTTATAACAAAATTGAACAAGTGTCATCTTTTGTGATGAGGACCAGTAGAACAATTCAAGGGAAAATGTTTGCCACATGTGAAAAAAAAATGATTGATACATAGAACAATCACAGGGTACGGTTGGACGGTTGCAAGACTTTAAAGTGTTTTTGTAAAGGCTTGATCTCTTGTCCCTATTCAAACTTCCTTCAAATTTACCTGCACTTTTCTATTTTTAGAGTAAAGGAAAGTTTCTCCGTGTTTTAGGAATGGTACACAGCAAGTTCAGACTCTTGTTTATTTTTTATTGGCATGGAATTTGGTGACAGTCTCTGGTGTGCCTGTTTTCAACTCCTTGCCTTAAGTATTTGTTCTCCCATTGTTGGGGGCCTATCACCACTGCTCCCCAGCCTTCGTTCATGTGCTTGCTTGACAGAGACTTGTGATGTCACTCTGGCTTGTTTTCTATTTGCAGACCAAGTTGGCCTCAAACCCACCTGCCTCGAGCACTCATTGCTTTCAGCCGCTGCCCTGTTTTCTGCCTTCCTTTCCTCAGCAGTTGGCTTTCAACTGTACAAATCGAGTTCCAGGATTTCCACAGAGGTTAAACCTTAATTCCCGAGGCTAAACGAATGACTGACTGGACGTCGTGCTTGAACTTCCTTGGTAGATTTCACTGACCAGATTATGTTTCTCTCAGGAATAGAAGCAGTTAATGTTTGTTTATATACCGAACACTTAGGCCTTCTTACGAGATTCAGAAAAATTTATTCACATAGAAAATTAAGAATTTTAAATGTACTTGTCTTAGTCCTCTTTTGCCGGGAAGTGGTCATGATCAAGGCAACTCTTATAAAAAAGAAAGCATTTACTTGGGGCTTGCTAACATCAGGGTTTAGTCCATTCTTGTCATACGGGAAGTATGGCAGCATGAAGGCTGGCATTGTGCTGGAGAAGCAGCTGAGAGCTCCACATTGGATGGGTAAGCAACAGGAAGAGAGGGACACTGGGCCTGACTTGAGCATTTGAAACCCTAGGGCCCACACACATGATACACTTATTCTAGTAAGGCCACACCCACTAGTACCACTCTCTGGTGACCATTCTATGAGCCTACGGGGACCATTCCTATTCAAACCACTACAGGAATTAAGTAAAAAGTTTCTTTCAAGAAAAATTAGAGCCAGGCAGTGGGAAAACGCGCCTTTAATCCCAGCACTCAGGAGGCAGAGGCAGCTGGCATGTCTGTGAGTTTGAGGCCAGCCTGGTCTACAAAGCAAGTTCCAGCCAGGACAATTACACAGAGAAACCCTGTCTCTAAAAAAAAAGAAAATAGAAGAAAAGGAAAGGAAAGGAAAGGAAAGGAGAGAGAGAGAGAGAGAGAGAGAGAGAAGGAAAAAAAGGAAAAATTGATTGTTAAGAAAGGAAATAAACCAGGTGGTAGAGGTGCATGCCCTTAATCCCAGCACTTGGAAGGCCAAGGCAGGAAGATATTAGAGTTTGAAGCCAATCTGGTCTACAGAAGAAGTTACAGGACAGTCAGGGCTACAACAGAGGACCCTGCCTTTAAAAAAACAGAGAGAGAGAAGTTTAACCAAAGATAAACCAGAAAAAATATTCAGCACAATAGACTATGTTATGCTTTTTTTTTTGCAATACATTGAATAGACTAGAACATTCTACACCATTGGTGGTGATAATATGGTCTGACATTTCTGAGATTAAAAAGAGTGCTCCCTATCCTCCAGCTGCTAACATGCTACATTAGAAAGAAACTGGGAGGCCAACACTCTCAAGCCGAAACTCCACAGGATAGTTTGAGGCTGTAACTCAGTGAAGTCACGCCTAGCCAGTATATGTGAGTTTCTAGGCTCAGTCCCCAGGATGATAATAACAATGATTAGGATGATGGCAACACATTTTATGAATGAATGCATGATTATGCTTGTCTCTTATCTTGTCCCCAGAAGATTTAAGTTTATTGACCTGAGAAGAAGGCTGAATGGGTAAAAATCTAGCCATGAGATTGTGATGACCTGAGTTTGGGCCCCTAGCATCTGTGCAAAAGCCCGGTAACATGTGTGCTGGGTAGGGAGAAGTGTCTAGTCACAGTGGTGAGCTCCAGGTCCAATGAGAGACCCTGTCTCTAAAAATGAGCCAGAGAATGATAGAGAAACACACAAACAGACACAGAAATGAGTGTACCCCTGAATACGAACACACACACAGGTGCGTGTGCTCCATACATGTGCACACATAGGCAAGTGTACCCCCATACAAGTGCATACACACATAGACAAGTATACCCCATACATGTATACACACACAGGTGAGTGTACCCCCATATGTGTGCACACACACAAGTAGACAAGTATACCCCCATACATGTATACACACACAGGTGAGTGTACCCCATCCATGTGTACACATATACAGGTGAGTATACCCCTGTACTTGTCCACACACACACACACACACACACACATACACATGTACACACACATACAGAGAGACAAGTGTACCCCCTGTACATGTGCACTGACACACAGTTGAGTATAACCCCGTATATGTGCACACACACACACACACACACACACACACACACATACACAATGGATTTAAGCTTGGTTGGAAGAAAACATAAGGTGCTGATAGACACCATCCATTAAAAGTAGGAGAGAAAGCTAGAGTACAAGTCAGAACAGAAAGAAATTTAGAAAGGCTATTGTGAAAATATAATCCTGTTCTCAAGAGTTCTAAGGCTTTTGATACTCAGTGGCCAAGTGCCTTGGGCAAAATACTTAACCGCTGCCTCTCTAAGCCCAGGTATCCTCATGTGTGAAAGAATATAGCATTGTTTTAACCAGCAACAAAGAAAATATAATCTATATGCCCTTAGTCTTAATATAGATGAGCTTGAGATATAACAGAATTTTCTTTTTCTTTTTCGAGACAGGGTTTTGCTGTAGTTTTAGAGCCGGACCTGGAACTAGCTCCTGTAGACCAGGCTGGCCTCAAACTCACCGAGATCCACCTGCCTCTGCCTCCTGAGTGCTGGGATTAAAGGCATGCACCACCACCGCCCAGTTTATAACAGAATTTTTTAACAGTCAAAGCAAAAATTAAAGCCTTATCATCAGTTATAGAATGCACTGCTCCCAAAAACTATTCAAAAGAAGCATGCTTTCCTGGAGACTGAAATTAAACATAATTTTCTCCCCAAAGCTCACAGAACAAGGCCACCATCCAGTGTGAACAGTGTCATCGAGGAAGCTGGATGATGTTTAGCTGCTTTCCCGTGCATCCCTCAGAATCTGGATCCTTTCAGTGAAACACTGTCCAGCAAAAGCAAGGCTTCAGAGGTCAGTGCCATGTGCTCTGTTTGCATGAGCTAGAGTGTGGGGCCTCTAAAGGGAGCTCATGTTCGTATACACATTCCCGTTATAGATATTTCTCCAGTCATGGACTTGATGGTCATTCAGTGGCAATAAGCTCAAGACTGCATTCAGATACAACAACCACATTTCCACAGGTGTGTTCTTTCATCTCATTCTAATATAAGCAAATGCCAAGGGAAGTCAGATGCTTTGGAAAAAATAATGGGAAATATGTAATTTTATAACATTGTTTTCATTAATCCAACTTCCTGTTACTTGACAAAAGATTGTCATTCTATTTTGTCAATGGAATAACCCTTCACATTCAATTCCCTTTCATCCTATCCATAACCTGTGGTAGGGACATCAGTATCCAAGCATTGTGTGTATGCCTGCGTTCTGATGTTTCTCTCTCGGGCATACACTAGCCATCTCTGAGAATCAGCTTTTCTGAAAATGAATGTAACCTATTGTTATAGAGTCTTTCAGCCTGCTTAAAGAAATGTTTATTGTAAATCAAGAAAAGATACCACAAAGGGTAGTTGTGGCCGAACCTCAGTACTCACAAACTGCTGGGCAACTCCTCTGCACCGAGCTCTGCATTCAGCCACACACAGTTCCAGCTCTCGAGGCCTGATATTCCTAACTACACATGCTTTTCTTTGCAATGCTTTGGAGTGTGTGGCCGCACACTTGGCACAGATTCTAGATAAACAGTGTCTCCTGCTTTGAAATCACTTGGACTATACCCCAGATGTTGAAATACAAATATCAGCTCGCTCCCCAAACCCAGTGTTTGCTCTAAGAAGTTACCATTCAACAAGATTAATGCTTTGAAAATTAAGTCGGGTTTATAGTTAACCACCTCTCCCCAACCTCTTCCACAACACATCCAATGCCCTTACACACTATCCACCTACAGTTTTTCAGAACTCACCAGCTAACCTCCTCCCAGGCCCTACTTTCAATTTAAGAAAGCCTCTTTCAAAATCATTGTTTTCACCAAGTCCTATTTCTAGGTAAGGATCTATTGGTAATTGAAAGCTGCATGGAAAGAAATTGGTTTCGGATTAGTTTTAAGCGTGTGGCCCCTGGTAGACTGAACACACTCCAGCAGACAGCCATACATGCAAGAATGTATGGTCAGTGACGAGGGAGGGGGACTTAATTGGGGGAGGGGGAGGGGAAGGGGAGGCGGCGGTGGGGAAGAGACAGAAATCTTTAATTAATTAATAAAGAAATAAATAAATTAAAAAAAAAGAATGTATGGTCAGCACTCATAAATTGTACTGGTGGGAGAAAAAATATCCAAGGCCTCAAAGTTAGGTGGGTATGAGATGAGAAGTGGATCTGGATGAATTTAGGGGAGATGGAGAATATAATGAAAACAGAATGTCTGAAATTCTCAAAGAATTAATAACTAAAAAAAATAACAACAGAGAAACAGATTAAATATAGAACTGTGGCTGAGATGACAACATGCTACTACTAAACTCAACAATTTGGCTTCAACAAATTAATGTAACCCAGCAGATTAAGTTAATGTCAATCATTTTTAAAGAAAAAATGATTTTTGTGATGCATTTATCAAAACACAATTTATCACTTGTGTTTAGTTCCCAAAGTGCCTTCTTAAACCTTTCAGAACACCTTTCTCAGTGAGAATCTGCAGGACTTGCCATCTAAATTCCTTTGAATGTGCTGAGCTGTTCAATTATCCCAGTGGTTTTTGCAGGGTCTGCTGGTTGTTAGCAGACAGCACTTTACCTTCCTTTTTACATCAATGGTCGGTTCCCATGAACAAGCCTGAACCTTGTGTCCTCAGCACAGGACCATGGAATGGTATATCCAACAGGCTAGAAACTCCAGGAGCAGCTCAAGCTCTCAAACACTCTCACCTCTTACCGCCAGTATCTAATACTTCCCCACAACTCCAGCTTCGCGGTTTCACCTCCTCTATAGCCAGTGTGCACCCATGATTCATTAGCAGCGCTTGCGATCCTTCAGACAACTCCAGTTTGTTAGAGCTACTTTCATCTATCTTCCTTCCAGAAAGAGGAAGAAAGCTCCATTTTTCATCGTCAATACAAAACTTGGCATTTCGGTTCTAGTTCCCATCGCTGCTCACAACTCAGCAAACTATTTCCAAAATATTAGGGTCTACCAACTCATGGAAATTGAACAGTGAACTATTGAACTACCTCTAGGTCAAGGAAGAAATAAAGAAAGAAACTAAAGACTCCCTAGAATTCAGTGAAAATGAAGGCACGACATACCCAAACCTATAGGACATTATAAAAGCAGTGCTAAGAGAAAAGTTCATAACACTAAGTGCTCACATAAAGAAAGTGAAGAAACTTCACACTAATGACTTAACAACACACCTGAAAGCTCTAGAACAAAAAGAAGCAGAAGTACCCAGGAGGAGTAGAAGACAGGAAATAATCAAATTGAGGTCTGAAATCAATGAAATAGAAACAAAGAAAACAACACAAAGAATCAATGAGACAAAAAGCTGGTTTGCTGACAGAGGTTTCTGTCCTGCCCAATCCTGCAGCCATTCAGCCCCAAAGAAACACCATACAGAGGTCTGCATTAATTATAAACTAGTTGGCCTACTAGCTCAGGCGTATTAACTCTTTCTAACATCTTATATTAGTCAATTATTCTTGCCTGTGTTAGCCACATGTCTTGGTACCTTTTTCAGCGAGGCCAGCACATCTTATATCCTCTGCATCTGGGTGGCAACAGCAGACCTCTAACACCTAATACCTATACTCCTCAAAGTGTTCCACATAATAGAAACAGAAGGAACGTTGCCAAACTCTTTTTATGAGGTTACATTTACCCTGATTCTGAAACCACACAAAGACTAAATCAATAAAGAGAATTACAGACCAATATTATTCATGAATATAGATGCAAAAATACTCAATAAAATACTGCAAACTGAATCTAAGAACACATCAAAAAAATCATCCACCATGATCAAGTCCACTTCATCCCAGAAATGCAGGGATGGGTCAACATACGAAAATCAATGTAATCCATCATATAAATAAACTGAAAGGAAAAAACCATATGATCATTTTCTTAGATGCTGAAAAAGCACTTGACAAATTCCAATACCCCTTCATGATAAAGGTCATGGAGAGATCAGGGATACAAGGAGCATATCTAAACATAATAAAAGCAATATACAGCAAGCTGACCACCAACATCAAATTAAATTGAGAGAAGCTCAAAGCGATTCTACTAAAATCAGAAACAAGACAACGCTGCCCACTCTCTCCATATTTCTTCAACATAGTTCTTGAAGTTCTGACTGTAGCAATAAGACAACAAAAGGAGATCAAGGGGATTCAAATTGGAAAGAAAGAAGTCAAACTATCATTATTTGCAGATGATATGATAGTATATATAAGTGACCCCAAAAACTCTACCAGGGAACTCCTATAGCTGATAAATATCTTCAGTAATGTGACAGGATACAAGATTAACTCAAAAAAGATCGGTAGCCCTGCTATATACAAATGATAATGGGGCTGAGAAAACATTCAGAGAAACATCACCTTTCAAAGTAGACACAAATAACATAAAATACTTGGGGTAACACTAATCAAAGAAGTGAAAGACCTATTCGACTTTAAGTCTCTGAGGAAAGAAATTGAAGCAGATATAGAAAATGGAAAGATCTCCCATGTTCTTGAATAGGGAGGACCAACAAAATAAAAATGGCAATCCTACCAAAAGAAATCTGTAGATTCAGTGCAATCCCCATCAAAATTCCAACATAATTCTTCACAGACCTTGAAAGAACAATAATCAGCTTCATATGTAAAAAAAAAAATCCTGTACAATAAAGGAACTTTCTGGAGGTATCATGATCCCTGATATCAAAAAAAAAAAAGCTATTACAGAGCTACAGAAATGAAAACAGCTTGGTATTGGCATAAAAACAGACAGGAGGACCAATGGAATCAAATTGAAGGCCCAGATATTAATCCACACACCTATGAACACCTAATTTTTGACAAAGAAGCTAAACTTACACAATGGAAAAGAGAAAGCAAATGGTGCTGGCATAACTGAATGTCCACATGTAGAAGAATGAAAATAGATGCATATCTATCCTCATGCACAAAACTCAAGTCCAAATGGATTAAAGACCTCAATATAAATCCGACCACACTGAACTGATAGAAGAGAAAGTGGGAAGTATCCTTCAATGCATGGGCACAGGAGACCACTCCCAGTAGTACAGACACTGAAAGTAACAATAAATAAATGGGACCTCCTGAAACTGAGAAGCTCTGTAAAGCAAAGGACAATCAGTGAGACACACAGTCAATAAGACAAAAAGGCAGCCTACTGAATGGGAAAAGATCTTTACCAACCCCACATAAGACAGAGAACTGATATCCAAAATATATAAAGAACTCAAGAAATTAGACATCAAAATTCCAAATAACCCAATTAAAAAATGGGTTACAGAACTAAACAGAAAATTCTCAACAGAAGAATCTAAAATGCCCAAAAGGCACTTAAGGAAATGTTCAACATCCTTCGTCCTCAGGGAAATGCAAATCAAAATAACTCTGAGATACCATCTTACACCTGTCATAATGGCTGAGATCAAAAACACCAGTGACTTATGCTGGAGAGGATGTTGAGTAAGGGGAGCACTCATCCATTGCTGGTGGAAATACAAACTTGTACAACCACTTTGGAAATCAATATGGCAGTTTCTCAGAAAAGTGGGAATGAACCTATCTCAGGATCCAGCAACACCACTCCTAGGTATATATCCAAAATATGCTCAATCATACTACAAAGATATATGTTCAACTATGTTCATAGAAACATTATTTGTAATAGACAGAAACTGGAAACAACCTAGATGCCCCTCAACCAAAGAATTGATAAAGAAAATGTGGCACATTTACACATTAGAGTACTACTCAGAGTTAAAAAAAACAACAACATCTTAAATTTTGCATGTAAATAGATGGAACTAGAAAATACCATCCTGAGTGAGGTAACCCAGACCCAAAAAGTTAAATATTATATATACTCACTCAGAAGTGAATACTAGATATAAATAAGTAAACCACAACACTGCGGGGGTTGGGGGGGAAGCGAGTGGCAGGAGAGAGAAGAAGAGAGAAAGGGAAAGAAATGAAAAGAGAAATATTTCTTGACAGGATAAGGATTTGAAGTTCCAATGGTCCAAGAGAAGCACCAGTCACCTCCTGGCCTTGTATATCCTTTCCCTCCACTCCCTAGAAGAGAGCGGGAACCTTACACCCTACACACACCAGTCAAGTAGACGACCACTAGCCACATTCCAGCCCCCATGTAGATCCTTCTTCATGTTTCCAAGCTTGAAGAGCTTCTGCCCTAGAATCCTGGAATATAGTGAGAGAAGACATGGTTAGAAATACAGAACGGCATGGGTTGTCAGAAAATGGACGAATGAAGATAAGGGATCTGTGTGTTCTGATACAAAGATGGGTCCTTCCACCCCGTGGATACATAGTAGACTCTATGGTTGGTTTCCTCTAAAGATTTGTACACTATAACAGAATAAGTAGCCTGACTATGGGCACGGAGTGCTTCACTTATGTATTAGTGTGGCATTGTAAATCTACAAATGACCTT